ACTACATCATTATAGATTATTTCAGGGGATTGTTTATGTGTTTGCTGGTTTAGTTTTAATGGCGTACTTTACAATCCTGGTTTTGCTGTTTGGAAACGTTTCCACCAGTGATTTCAGCAGGAGGCGTGGGTAGCAGGCGTGATCGCGTAGAAGCCAGGAAAACATATTTCCTTGTGATGTTGGCAGCTGCAGTCTCCTTGTGCAGATTTCCTTCTTTGCCTTCTCACTGTCAACCTCTAAAGTGAGGGAGGAGCGGTCCGGGGGAAGTGGGAGTGTCTCCCCTCCATTCCTGGTCTCCTTCCGCGCCTTGCAGGGGAAGGGATTTCCGCTGCTTTGCAATTAGCTGGTCCCGGCAGAAAGCCTGTGCCTTTCCCTTCCTTTTATTTAGGAGCAAACGTCAACACTGAGAGAAGGAACGCGTCCTTCTCCCTGTGGGAAGGTCCCAAGTGCCAGCTTAACCCCTGGCTGTTTGAAGTTTCTTTTTCTTTATTTTTTCTCTTTTTCTCTTTCCTTGGTTTACCATGTTGTGTTAATTTCTGGTGCGCAGCATAGCCATTCAGTTACACGAAGTTTAAGTATCCGAGGAGCTCCCGGGGTTCCTAGAAACGTGCTGCTTTTCCAGACTGTGGGGAGTGTAAGCCTCTTCCGTCCAGAAAGCCTCAGAGCTAATTTCTCAGGATTGTAAGCCCACTGCTCACTGGCTGTCAGATTCTGACAGAGAACGTAGCAAGGACTTTGAATTGATATTTATAATACCTTAAAAATATATCCTTATAGAAATTTTTTATTGTGTTTTTTTACTTTTTTTTCAGTGGAGGTGCTGGGGATTGAGCCCAGGACCTCATGCATGTTAAGCATGTGCTCTACCACTGAGCTGTACCCTCCCCCGACATTTGTAAAATAACATAAAACTCTGATGGAAACTCCATGAGGGAGGGACAATGGGTGAGGGCCACTGGGTTCCCAGGGCCTAGAACAGGACCTAGCATGTAGCAGAAGCACAGTATACGTCTGTTTTTGTGAAATTAAAGATGTTTAGGAATAAAATACGGTTCAACTTACTCTTCCATTCTGTGATTTTGTTTGTTTTCATCTTCTTTGTGTATTTTCCAGTTGAAAATGACCCACACTTCATCATCTACCTACCGAAAAGCCAAAAGAATATTTGTTTCAATATTGACCCAGAGCCTGGAAAAATCCTCAGCCTTGTTTCTGATCCAGAATCAGGTAAAAGAAAAAGATCTTATATTTGAATTAGAATATTAAATCATGATCATGCTTCTGTCACTGCCTGGATTTCTTTCTTTCTCACCTTAATAGAATTAGAATATATATAGATATATAATATATATATGTAATATATATATTTCAAATTATATTTTCAAACTCCAGTATTGAAAAATTAATTATAAATATATTCCTAACTGTTGGATCTATTACAGATAAAATACTCTGAGTATGAACTAGCAGAACTTATTGTGATATAATTAATTTAAACTATAATAAAGCAGTTATAAAATGAGAATTAAAAGGAAAAAAATGTTATGTAAATCCTGAAGGAAAATAAAAGAATAATTTCCCCCATAGTCTCAGGTTTTACAAATTTGAATTATGGTGCTCACATGTGCCCTCCCCCCCCCAAAAAAAAGCACACAAAAGAGAAAAGAAATTTTTTTTCCTGCAGGGATTTTGGTCAACGGGCAGCTCATTGGTGCCAAGAAGCCCCAGAATAAAAAACTAAGCACCTACTTTGGGAAGCTGGGATTTTATTTCCAACGTGAAGACATGAAAATAGAAATCAGCACTGAGACCATCTCGCTGAGCTGGGGCTCTCGGACTGCTGTCCTGTCCTGGTCCGACACAGCCCGCATCCTCCATCAGAGGCAAGTACTGTCACATCCAAATTCGGGCGTGTCCTTGACACGTGGCTACATCAACACAACCAGACACCCGTGACACAGAGAACTCAGAGTCATCATTTTAAGTGTGAAGAAGTTGAGGTTCAGAAAGCTGGTTACTTCCTCCTGTTCCTGGCAGTAGTTTTGGTCATAGTGCGTCTCAGGGCTAGCCTGGCACCTGGCTCGTAAGAGGTCCCCAGTTAGTATGTGATGGACAAGTGAATGAACCCATCAACTGAAGTCCGGCCAACTCTGTCAGAGTATGTTTAGAAACACTATGGTTGTGCGCTATGAGGAATATCTTCCCATTAGTATCCGTTCGTTGTTGATACAGAAACAGACAGTGACAGAATTTCAGAGCCGTGAGTGAAGTCAACATTCTGCAGCCAGAACGTTGTAAAGCTCTTAGGAAACTGGGACGGTGGGGGTGGGGGTTTGTATTGGGCAGAATGGAGTCCTATTAGGGGTGGGAGAGGATCACTGTCTAAAGAGTCTGTTCTGGAATCGTTAATTCCATTTTGACTTCCCATTAGGGTACTTGTCTCAGTGAAGAAAGAGAAAACTGTGACCATCGTCCTGGATAAAGAAATGTCCTTTTCCGTTTTACTCCATCAAGTTTGGAAGAAGCATCCGATCAATGTAGACTTTTTGGGGATCTACATCCCCCCCTCAAACAAGTTTTCTCCTAAAGCACACGGACTGATAGGTAAAGTGTCCACCATCCACCCTCGGCCTTGAGCAGCTCTGACTGTTAGAAGGTGGGCAAGTGACAGGTGTGGACTCAAGGGTTCAGGGAGGACCCACCTACACTCTGTGCCCTGGTCCTAACTTGTGAAGGTGCCTGAGTGACGACCCAGAGAGGTCAGTGTCATTGAATGGGTGTAACGTTTACTGTTGGTCACGGTTTCCATAGAAACGCGAGGCATTTCTCGCCATGCAGGGCCACAGGGAGAGGGCAACATTTGGGTCAGGAACCAGGAGCAGGAGCAAGAGGTAGGTTTAGAGCAGGGCCGTTATTGGCGTCTCTGTGGGGAAGACAGGACAGAGCAGGGTGGTTTGCGGTTGGCCTGAACAATTTCAGCCGCGGGCGCTGGGCTACAGGGTGGGCCTTCCTTGCCTGGGACCTGGCCCTGGAATGATTCCTTCTGGGGCACACAGGCCAGGGAGAGGAGGTCTGGCTCTGGGCTGGTTAGTTTGCAGATCCCGGCCTTGTTCCTGGCTGTGTCCTTTGTTGTCTTTCAGAACTGGCTTTCCCAGGGAGCGGCAGTCTCTCCCTAGCCAGACAGGGTTTTTAGGATGTCAAAACATAATAATATACAGAAAATAAAAAACGTGATTCATATAACCGAACACAGCAGTGTAGGGTGACTCAGTAAGGCTTCAGCCGGGCCTACCTGCCGTTCCGGATGAGGTTTTCCCAGGACTAGGATTTCATCAAGGACTGAGCAAATTAAGAGAAGGGGTGGATACATGTTATGTTTTATGCTGAAGGCTGTTTTTTCTAACTGAAGAGAAGTCATCTGGTTTAGGAAGTCTGTGATAACAAGCGGGGCGTCCAGGTCAACCTTCCCTACTTTTTAAAGAATGGTTCCAATTTCAGCATCACAGAGTTTTAGTGTCACAAGCAATTTGAGCTCTGCTTTCAGGTGGGACCTTCACCCCCACCCTCAGGGCGTTCAATTCTACTCACGGTCCAGCAGCCCCACCTCCTACATCCAGCAGCTCCACTTCCTACATCCAGCAGCTCCCCCTCCTTTGCCCAGTAGCTCCACCTCCTATGTCCAAGTAGCCCCACCTCCTACGTCCAGTAGCTCCACCTCCTTTGCCCAGTAGCTCCACCTCCTTTGCCCAGTAGCTCCACCTCCTATGCCCAGTAGCTCCACCTCCTTTGCCCAGTAGCTCCACCTCCTACATCCAGTAGCTCTGCCTCCTACGTCCAGTAGCTCCACCTCCTATGTCCAGTAGCTTCACCTCCTATGTCCAGTGACCGCAGGGTGAGCGGCATGGCTTTGCCCTCAGGAAGGACCCATCCCGCCACCTGCATCCTTTCCCTCTCAGTCTGTCTTTCCACTGCAGGAAGTCTGGAGGGGGGACCACCATGCAGCTCGGGTCCCATGAGCAGCCCGTCCTTTTGTCTTTCCTCTGGTTACATGTAGATACATGTCTGGACTTTGTTTCATTAGGCCAGTTCATGCATGAGCCAAAGATACGTATCTTCAACGAGCGACCAGGAAAGGACCCCAAGAAGCCAGAGGCAAGCATGGAAGTGAAAGGACAAAAGCTGGTAGTCACCAGGTAAGCATGGGACGCATACGATGGGAACCAAAAGGGCTCCTGTTAGGACTGGACTCAACGGCAAAGTGGAAGAGCAGGGAGAGATGTTTCATGGCAAACGAAACAGTTCACCAGGAAGACACACGAGTGACCTCTGTATAAGGAGACTGCACGTGGTCCATCTGAAACGCAGTGAGGGGGTACCAGTGCTGTACCATGAGATGCCAAGATTAACCTACTTTCCACACCTGCGTGCATTAGAAGCCCTGTGGCCACAAGCTGGGTAACTGAGATGGCATCGCCCTTAAGTAGAACGCTCTCCCAGCCGGGGACGGTGAGAGGCACCTGCAGTCATTCTGCAGGTAGTTTGT